CATGACCCGGCTTCGCCCGGGACTTGGATCCACGATGCCCCGCCGCCTTTGTCTCCCCAGTGACGATGTTCACACACGACAGCAGTTACGCTTTTGAGGCTGAGTGGACCTAGGGGAGGGCCAGGTCCGTTTCAAATAATCGTCAGCGGTGGTGGGCGTGAGTTGGAATCGAACTGGGGTCGCTCAAGCAGCTTAATGACTGTTTGTACAAAGAACATATAAAGAATCGATTATAATAACCAGGCAAGAGTCCACATTATAGACTGCCAGTACACGCACTCAGCTTCATAAGCAGGCTAGAGTGTACATGATAGAGTGGCAGTACGCTCACCGAGCTTAATAAGCAGGCTACAGTGTACATGATAGACTGGCAGTACGCTCACCCAGCTTAATGAGTATTTGTACAGTGAACATTAAAGTAATCGATTGTTGGCGCGTTGGGTTTAAAAGTAATATTAATAGCACACATTGTGGTGGGGGTGTAGTGAAGAGTAGGAAAAACTTTGATGAATTTACCTCAGAGTGGCGTGGTGGGTGTCGAGGCCTAGTAGCGTGCAAAGCCTGCGGCCTCTCCTAAAATTGCGGCTTGGAAGAGGCAGGGTACGGGTGGCGTTCCTTCCCCCCCCCCTAGCGCTCCAACAATACTGTGTAATGGCTATTATTTAATTAAATACGGAGCTTATGAAAGTGGCGAAGGCGTGGCTAGCCGTTGGCAGGGGCAACCGCCGTCCAATGAAACTGCAGCCCTTGGCGAAGGCGTGGCTAGCCGTTGCCAGGTCCAATGAAAGCGGCGAAGGCGTGGCTAGCCGTTGCCAGGGGCAACCGCCGTCCAATGAAAGTGCGTATGGGCCAAAGTCCACACACACACACACAGACAGACAGACATGAACGATTTTATATATATAGACTAGCTGTACTACCCGGCTTCGCCCGGGACTTGTATCTACCACGGCCGGCCGCCTTTGTCTCCCCAGTGGCGATGTTAATACGCTACAGTAGTTAAGTTACTCGTTTGAGGCAGAGTCGACCTAGGGGAGGTTCAAATAATCGTCACCGGTGGTGGCCGTGAGCGGGAATCGAACTGGGTTTGCCGGGTTGGTAGCGCAGCGTAGCGTTAAGCACTACACCCACCGCTCCTCACACACCACACACGCACAGACACACACACAGACACACACACAGACACACGCAGACACACACAGACAGAAACACACACACAGACAGCACGCTAACCACTACACTACCGCTCCCCACACACCACACACGCACACACACAGACACACACACAGACACACACACAGACACACACACACAGACACACACACACAGACACAGGCAGCACGCTAAGCACTACACTACCGTTCCCCCTACACAACACACGTGCGCGCGTCCATAGGTACACATACACGCGCTTGCTGCAGACACACAGGACTTTCAGGGTGCATACGGCAGTAAACGACTGAAATAATAAAGCGGCAATGCTGTGTAAGGAACGCCTTAGACCCGCATTATACATTTGTGTAATGCGAGCGTAAACACACAAACACACACAAACACATACACAATACACACACACATACATGCAGACACACAGACAGACACATAACACACATACATACACACACATACAAACACAGAAACACATACACACACATACATAGACACACATACATACACACAAACACATCCACAGACGTACATACACACATACAGGCACGCAGACATACACATAAACACATACAAAAAAACCCACATACATACACACACACATACATACACACAAACACATGCACACACATACATACACACATGCATACAGACACACAGACATACACATAAACACATACACACATACACATGACCCGGCTTCGCCCGGGACTTGGATCCACCACGGCGGCAAAACCGACATACATACACACACAGACATACACACAAACACATACACACACATACATACACACATGCATACAGACACACAGACATACACATAAACACATACACATGACCCGGCTTCGCCCGGGACTTGGATCCACCACGGCGGCAAAACCGACATACATACACACACAGACATACACACAAACACATACACACACATACATACACACATGCATACAGACACACAGACATACACATAAACACATACACATGACCCGGCTTCGCCCGGGACTTGGATCCACCACGGCGGCAAAACCGACATACATACACACACAGACATACACACAAACACATACACACACATACATACACACATGCATACAGACACACAGACATACACATAAACACATACACATGACCCGGCTTCGCCCGGGACTTGGATCTACCACGCCCAGCCGCCTTTGTCTCCCAAGTGCCGATGTTAATACGCCACACCAGTTACTCGTTTGAGGCTGAGTGGACCTAGGGGAGGTTCAAATAATCGTCACCGGTGGTGGCCGTGAGCGGGAATGGAACTGGGTTCGCCGGGTTGGTAGCGCAGCGTAGCGTTAAGCACTACACCCACCGCTCCTCACACACCACACACGCACAGACACACACACAGACACACGCAGACACACACAGACAGACACAGACAGACACACACACACACAGACACACAGACAGCACGCTAAGCACTACACTACCGCTCCCCACACACCACACACGCACACACACAGACACACACACAGACACACGCAGACACACACAGACAGACACAGACAGACACACACACACACAGACACAGACAGCACGCTAAGCACTACACTACCGTTCCCCCTACACAACACACGCGCGCGCGTCCATAGGTACACATACACGCGCTTGCTGCAGACACACACGACTTTCAGGGTGCGTAAGGCAGTAAACGACTGAAATAATAAAGCGGCAATGCTGTGCGAGGAACGCCTTAGACCAGCAACACATTTGTGTAATGCGAGCGTAAACACACAAACACATACAAACACATACACACACATACATACAAACACATACACACAGACATACACATACACACAAACACACACATACATGCACACAAACACATACACAATACATACACACATACATGCAGACACAGACAGACACATAACACACATACATACACACACATACACACATACATAGACACACACATACATAGACACACACATACATACACACAAACACATGCACACACGTACATACACACATACATAGAGACACGCAGACATACACATAAAGACATAAAAAAAAACCCACATACATACACACACACATACACACAAACACATACATACACATACATACACACATACATAGAGACACACAGACATACACATAAACACAAACACACATACACATGACCCAGCTTCGCCCGGGACTTGGATCCACGATGCCCCGCCGCCTTTGTCTCCCCAGTGACGATGTTCACACACGACAGCAGTTACGCTTTTGAGGCTGAGTGGACCTAGGGGAGGGCCAGGTCCGTTTCAAATAATCGTCAGCGGTGGTGGGCGTGAGTTGGAATCGAACTGGGGTCGCTCAAGCAGCTTAATGACTGTTTGTACAAAGAACATATAAAGAATCGATTATAATAACCAGGCAAGAGTCCACATTATAGACTGCCAGTACACGCACTCAGCTTCATAAGCAGGCTAGAGTGTACATGATAGAGTGGCAGTACGCTCACCGAGCTTAATAAGCAGGCTACAGTGTACATGATAGACTGGCAGTACGCTCACCCAGCTTAATGAGTATTTGTACAGTGAACATTAAAGTAATCGATTGTTGGCGCGTTGGGTTTAAAAGTAATATTAATAGCACACATTGTGGTGGGGGTGTAGTGAAGAGTAGGAAAAACTTTGATGAATTTACCTCAGAGTGGCGTGGTGGGTGTCGAGGCCTAGTAGCGTGCAAAGCCTGCGGCCTCTCCTAAAATTGTCGGCTTGGAAGAGGCAGGGTACGGGTGGCGTTCCTTCCCCCCCCCCCTAGCGCTCCAACAATACTGTGTAATGGCTATTATTTAATTAAATACGGAGCTTATGAAAGTGGCGAAGGCGTGGCTAGCCGTTGGCAGGGGCAACCGCCGTCCAATGAAACTGCAGCCCTTGGCGAAGGCGTGGCTAGCCGTTGCCAGGTCCAATGAAAGCGGCGAAGGCGTGGCTAGCCGTTGCCAGGGGCAACCGCCGTCCAATGAAAGTGCGTATGGGCCAAAGTCCACACACACACACACAGACAGACAGACATGAACGATTTTATATATATAGATTCTTTTTGTTAAGGCGCTCTTGCACCTCCAACGCAGCGTATATATAAGCTCCTAGCTTGGTAGTGTCTCATTCTTCACCTGAGGACGGCTGCTTGCGTTGTGGCCGAAACGTCGTGAGAATTATTTTATTTTATTATGTTTTATTTTTATTATTTTATTGCTTCCCTTCTACGTGACTTTACCGAAAGAACCAAGAAGATGGATTCCTGCAGTCACGAAAGCTTTAAATCGAAAAATAAAATATTATATTTAATTACCAATTGCTTAATGGTGCAATGCAATCATCTGACCCATAGGTGGCAGCCATCTCAAGCCAGAGGACGAGAGGACTCAAGCCGCCACGCATATAAAGGATTTATAGTGAAAAACTTTGTTTTTTACGGGTTATACTTGTATCACTTTCTTTTGTAGAGCACCCTGGGCTTCACTGCTAGAAGAGCGCGATATGACAAAATTATCCTGCACTGTCGTGTTCATCACGGGTTAGACGAGCGGTTGACAAAAAGCGACAACTGTTTTTGTGTTTAGTTTGTTGTCCTTCCCCCGCACCTCCGATTTACATGGTTGGCTACGTACGGCGCGAAAGAAGTTCAGCATACATACATATATTATGGCCATGTCATATGATTAAACTAGCACTTGGGTTTACGTTTGGGCAGTCGCTCATAAAGAATCCAGCAATAATCCCGGGTTGTTCCAGATATTTGTTTTGCTATGTGCACGTATTTGTTATTTGTACATATCAAGTGCACGTGTGCTGTGTGTGGGTGTTCAGTTCCGCACATATCAGCTGTTTGCCGGGAGAGGAGGCAAGGCACTGCCTGTGCAGCTATGCGACACCATGGGGATGGAAGAGGGCCCGGGCACCGGCATAGACCCGGAGGACGTGGTCAGCGTGCTGCACGGACACGTGCCCGACCGCTACCAGGTGACCAAGCCTCAGCTTGTTACTCACAACAGCCTCATTGAGGAATGCACATCACCAGATGGCCAGTTGGCTCGGAGGTTCAGACCGCCGAGCTGGCTTCGCAGACATCCTGGTGTCACATGGAGCATGCTCATGCATATTCAGATAGGTGTGGTGTGACACGTAATGCACATTAATGCAAGGTGTGGTCATGCATTTTATAGACATAGCATATAAGGTGTCACTTCCTGCATGGACTGAGAGCAATGGCGTCACTTAAGCTTTGGCGTGTGCACTAAGCACTGGACTGAGAACTCGGTGAAGTCTGTAAAGTTACCAGACGGACTCAATGTGTGTTTTACGTTACACAAGGCATAATGTTACACCTGGGTTACAATATAGGTAAGTCGCCTGTGATTACACCGGGTTCTCAAGTGTAGTGAGTTGATAATCTCAACCCGGTGACTCCACAGAGGTCACTTGTAAGGGATCTTGGAGGTAGCTCTGCGATATTCGCTTCTATGGCCGCTCTCAAACATCAAGGGTTGCACTGCTTTGTGAGGGATGTGTTGTCGGACCAAAGGCGTACATCACCACCATATCTGATAATAGATATGCAAGTCAAATAATAATTACTTTTGGTACTTGATAACATGCAGAAATGCTGTCCCAGTGTCTCAAAGTTTTGCGTAAATCGGGATTTTGTCCCCGATTTAACATTTTATGGCATCTTGCTTGATTGACAATCGTACAAAGGGTGGAGCTACCTGACTAGTGGGCAGAGCCAGGAGGCCACTCCCTGTGTGGGTGGTGCTGGTGATAGAGTGGGCACGGCTATACAAAAGTAGGTGGGGCTGATGGAGAGAGGGGCTGCCAGTTTTAACACAACGCGTTCCAGTTGAGCCTCCCAGAAGAGGAAGTGGTGTATTGTCCGCGTTCGTGACGGTGTCTCCGAATGCTGCGTGTGTTCGTAGTTCAACCCCGTGGCATCAATCGACTGTAGCTACCCGGGCTACGTACAGGAGCCCGAGCTGGCGCAGCGCGTGCACTGCCTGGTGTTCGTAATGGATGCGGGCAAGGTGGCCGTCATGTCAGAGCGCATGCAGGCCAAGCTGCAGCTCATTCGCAGCAAGGCCAACAAGATGGGTGAGGCGGCCGAGCACTCACACCACGACTTGTCCACCATGCATTGCCGGCCAGGCGTGAGAGGCCGGTGGGGCCCCACCAGAGAAATAAAGGAAAATGGAATTGCTAAACAAACTTGATCCACACTGTAGAGTTTAAAATGGAATTTTATTTTACATTTTACACAAGAAAATTTACAAACAGGTGCTCGCTAACAGCACTCACCCCAAGTGTTTAAGACAATACTGGGAATCTGTGTGTATTGAGTGGTGGTGCAGTGGTTCAGTACTATGCTTTGAATATGTCCTCCTGAATTCAGTGCTGGCGAGGGCTGACAGTGGTGAATAGTATCCGAACTTGTCCTCCAACAATACAGGTTAAATGGGGGATCTGTCTCCTGTGTATTTGTGTTCATGGTTTATGATTTTTCCCTGGCCAGGTATCCCGCAACTCATCCTGTTGACCAAAGTGGACCAGGCATGTCCTCTGGTCGAAGAGGACATTCAGAACATCTATCGTAGCCAATATATCAAGGAGAAGGTAACGTCAGTTTAATTCACGACCTTTATACAGAAGTTTTCATAAATGAGGCATTGTTACATCTGCATGGTAGTTGAGGTCATCATCATTCTGATAGCTGGGCTCTGGTGGTTATGCACACCTGTAATCGAGACCTGTGGAGCCAAGGATTGGTGGATTACACAAATTTACTGGGTCGTGTTTTCTCGTCAACCTGAGCCTCAAAGCAAGTAGCTGGTGCGATGTGTAAACATCGCCACTAGGGAGACAAAGGCAGTCAGGCGTGGTGCTGGCCACCAACCCTATCGTGTGCCGTGCTAGCCTTCATAGGTGCTGCTCACTAACACCACTTGCCCCAACAGTCTGTTACGGCTATGTGGAGGATATTTGGCTTTGTGTGCACACGTGTGCACGGTTACTCGTGTGCCTGACCCCGCCGGCAGGTGGTGGAGGTGGCGTCGCACCTGGGCATGCCCGTGTCCTCCGTGCTGCCCATCAAGAACTACGCCGTGCAGCTGGAGCCCGACACCAGCAGCGACATTCTGCTGCTCATGGCTCTGCTGCAGATGCTGCGCTACGTGGACGACTTCCTCATGGAGCTCGCGGAAGCCTGAAAGTGGCTTGGAGAGCTACTCCCATACATGGCCTAAATTTAGTGGCCAGGGCAAGATCGGTTAGTGTTGCCAACTCCTCAAAGCGGAAAGTTGCCAAACGAAACTCAAACTGTCACCAGATGTCGCTAAATTAAACCTCTAAAGTTTAAAAAATATTACTAGATAATTTACCAAGTCTGGAACAAAGTAAATTGATATAGAATCCTATATACCCGGGATGTCACTAAATATAAAGATGTCACTTTGATTATATTTTTCACGAGGGAAACGTAAAAATTCACTAAACATAGCAACAAAACTGCTGAGCTGGCAAACCGAGACCGGTCCTCGTCCCCAAAATCTGCATGACCTCATCCCCCTCTATACCTGATCCTCTCTGCTTTAGGTCCCCTTATTTACGTGTTATTTTTGGTCTAGGGAATTAAGCGGGAATCACGTTGCTTTGTTGGGTAGCAAGTACAGGGCAAGACAATGTCTGAATTAAGTTCGTTCGTTTTGAGACCTGTTTGGGATAAGAGACACGGAACTGCTTCGTCCCCGCTGGCATAGTGCAGTTTGTGTAGCTGTCAAACCACTGACTTGTTCCATAAATAAGTTGGGTTTTTTATCATAACGAAATAATTACCTTCTAAATGACAACCCATGTTTTGTAAGGATGACTTTTCATATTTTACTGTGGTTGCCCAATATTTGGAATTGTCCATGAAATTAATTTCATCTTTCAACGACTATTTACAGATAATTAAATAGCACCATTTAGCGTTAAGTGACTCTAAAGTTACAACCTTCGGTAATCGATTCTTGACACGAGACGAGTCTTCAGGAAGCACGGAACGCGACAGTGGAAGTGGACATTTACAATTATCCCATAAAACCCTGAAAGAGGAGCAGGCCCCAGCACAGCTGGTATGGTCATCCCAACCCATAACCTCCAACAGATGCCACTGCCATCACAGGAAACCTGAAAACAAATGTTCATGAAACAGATACGAGCAAAATATGATACAGGTACTCCAATGCATAAAATAATGTGTCTTAAGTTGACGAATGCTTGTCCCTTTGTAACAATACATTGCAAAAATTGTTTGCAAATTTGAAGCACCCAATGTTACAATTGCAGTTTATCTTTGAGGACATGCGTTTGCCAAAATGCTCTCCAGGTGATTGTAAATGCTTTGGTCCTTAATAAATGGATACAATAATATAATCAGGCGTTGGATATACAGTATTATTTATTAGTGTTTATTTATTGGTGACTAGCTTTACTTCCCGGCTTTACCCGGGACTTGGATTCTTGTCTTAAATTAATACACGGTCTACGCGGAGGGTTGGGGGGGGGGGGGTCGTGACGTCAGCAGGCACACTGCGTAACGCTCCCGCATGCGGGTGATATCACAGATGTGACGTCACTGCTCACTTGCGTGCAAAATATATCCATTATTGCGCCCCCCGCCTCCCAAAATACATTGTGTACAGTCTGGAAGCTACCCACAGGCCCAATTTAAAGTTTGTTGCATGTTGGGAAGTATGCTAAATATTTCGAAAACATTCACACATTTCCATTTTTTTTATTCCTTTATAAATTATTTTTTTGTGTTGAAGGATAGCACGATTGGCTACGTACGGTGCGAAAGCAGGTCAACATACGCTGGACTAAAACAAATTAAGTAAAACGAAGTGCCCATAGACTATAATGGGGATTCCTTTTCCAAAAGTCTATAGGCATTAATTTTTCTGTCATTCGTTGCCGTCCGTCCCGTCTCTATTGTTTATACGCCACATTGACACATATAAACAGAGTGCTTTGCTTGGCCTCACGTAGCTGAACTTTCATTACGTTAACGATGAAAAATGCTGGTTCTGAACACTTTGGAACAGTAGGCAATTCACTTAAAATGCATTATTCATGTTGTTGCAGGAGATTTTAGATTGTATTTCGGCAGGAAAGGACCCCTCCCATAGTGAGTTGGGCTCTTATCTGAGCGCCCGTGAACGGACGAGACGGAGCAGTGACATGAGCTCCTGTTCAGGCGACTCGTTACATCAGGAGGTCGCGAGCGACGGCTCAGGGAGGCCCTCATCCAGCAGTGGACAGACCGTGGCTGGCGATGACGAGCGCGACTCGGGCCTACCCCGGCCTCTGCTAGGTTTCCCTACGCGAGTGAGGCGTGAGCACGCGGGCAGGGCCACCAGGCAAGAAAGGGGGGCCCACTAGGCCTCAATGTTTAAAACGAAACGCACTCATTGCTGATCGAGCAGATGGGTTGAGGGAGGGGGGGGGCACGCGTGACGAGGAGGCGCCCCCCTCCTCGTGCGACGAGGAGGCGGCTCCACGCGGGGGGAGGGAGGGGAGCGCCTCGTTACCTCCTCCATCCTTCATCATCAAGCGGCCGCTTCAGGTTTGCAGCGTGAGGGAGCCTCTACTTCCGGCATCCGGGTTACGTTTCCGGGTCAAGGGTCAACAGGGCGGGGTCACCACTTCCGTCGTCGAGCGTGTGCGCTACGGCACATTTGGGGCCGTGGCCCGAAACGTCGCCCGCTGTCAGCAGTCGCCTCGCGTCTCGCTCCGCGCGTCTCGCATTCGGCTGTTGCCGACGACCGTCCCGAGCTTCGTGGTTTGTTCGCGCGAGTTGGCGGCCGGCAGAGAATCGCGTGGCGAGGAGAGCGAGGCTGGGGAGCGAGGTGTCAGAGGAGAGGTCGAGTGAGGAGGGTAGAAGAGGGGAGAGAGGGGGTTGAGGTGAGGGGGTTGAGGGTAGAGGTGAGGGGGGTGAGTGAGGGAGAGGTGAGGGGTGAGGGGGTGGGGGTCCTCATGGCGGGCTCCTCGTCAGGTAGCGCGGACCTCGACCTCGCCGCCCCCGGCGCGGACCTCGCGCTGCCTCCGCTCTTCGGGGGTCACATCCTGGAGGCTGAGGTGAGACTCACACAGCCATAGTAGTACTGACCCCACAGCCATAGTAGAACTGACCCCACAGCCATAGCTCTGACCCCACAGCCATAGCACGAATATCATAGTCTTAGTAGTAACCCCTTAGCCATAGCACTAACCCCATATCACAAACACTGTCTTCGCGAAAAACACATCGCACTAGACAGCACCCATACAGAACTAATCCCATAGAACGGGCATAGCTATATACCCATCGCGAGCTTATTAGCACTGCCATAGCACGTATCCCATAGCACTACACAATACAGTGCCAACACTGACAGTAAACTATCTCTGAAACTGCCCCAGCAACTCGTGCCATAGACGCCATAGACTCCGCCGGCGCTGATGTCCACCGCTGTCTGAACGCAGGTGGAGTTTGCGTCGAGTCCGGAGCGAGCGGCCGAGGCGAGCGAGTCTCTGCTGCCCCTGAGACATCGCCACCTGTACGAGAGCAAATACCTGGCGCTGAGGAAGCGCTGCGCCGAGATTGAGGGGGTGAGCCTGAATGCGGCGGTGGTGCGATATTAACTACCTTACCTGGTATGCAGGAGGCCGAGGGTTCCATCCTGACCCTGGTGTCTGTATATTTGGAGTTTGCGTGTCTCTTTCCCCGTGGTCACGTGATTTTTTTCCTCCAGATCCTCCGGTTACTCCCTCCACGTTTAGAATCGACGTGCGTTTAGCGTATTTGACCGCTGTAAATTTCCACGTTGAGCTATCATTTGTGGCCAGGTCGCTTCTGAAAAAGAGCATAGTGGGCCTTACCTGGTAAAATAAAAATAAAATAGAGCCTCAGTCTTCTGAGAATGTATCCATGATGCTGTCATGGGTAAGAATTTTACATTTAAGAATAGGTACGCATTAAGACGTTCCATTAAAACAGTTGCTGCATTGTTCTCATGTGTTTATTATTGTTATTATTATTAACTGTGTCCACAGATCAATGGAAAGATCCTCAACAGACTTTACCACGTGCGCAGAATCACGCGCCGTGTGAAGAAAGAGAGGTGGTAAGAGAAGTTGGCACCATCATATCCTCATCCTCTCGGCATCATCATAACCACCAACCACCTCTCCATCTATCAGCATACGCTAAGCAAGTTTGTGTGTGTCTGTGTGCATGTACGTGTGTGTCGAATGGTATCGTGTTGGTTAGCGCACTGCATTACGGACCTCGTGACCCGAGTTCGGATTCCGCTCACGACAAATGAACTGGAAGATATTTGAACCGGTCACGGGCCTCCCCTAGGTCGAGTCGTCCCCAAATGAGTACCTGGTGTCGTGTGTAAACATCAGTCAGGCATGGTGTTGGCAACCCCCACCCCCTTGTGTGCCGTGCCTGCCTTCGTAGGTTCTACTCGCCAAGAACACTTTCCCCAGTTGTCTCTTATGTCTACATGGGGGATCTTTGCCTTTGATGTTTGTATGTGTATGGCTTTTGTGTTTGAATGTACGTGTTGATGCACGTGCACACGTTTCTTGTGTCTTTGTACGCACGTGCCCATCGTTGCTTGTGTATGTGTACTTGCACGTGTATTGCACGTGAGCGGTGCCGTGGAGGCTAGGAGATGTAAACTACCTCGCCTGGTATACAGGAGGTTGTGGGTTCGATACCGACCCTGACGCCTGCTGTATATTTGAAGTTTGCAGTGTCTCTCATCATCATTACGGTGGTTAGGATATGTTAACTACCTCGCCTGGTATACAGGAGGTCGTGGGTTCGATCCCAACTCTGATGCCTGTATATTTGGAGTCTGCATGTTCTCCCCATTGTCGCGTTAATTTTTCTTTGGGTCCTCCGCTTGTTCCCTCCACATTTAGAATCAATATCCATTTAGAGTATTTGGATGTTATACATTTCCACATGATAAGCCATTTCGTTGAGGTATCATTTGTGATAGCCAGGTCGCTTCTGAAAAATAGCCATATTGCTTGGTGGGCCTTACCTGGTAAAATTAAAACAATTGTTTTAAATAGTTAAGTTTAGTATGTGTACGCGTGTGCCGTGTGTGTGCACACTTGTAGCCTCAGCCAAGGTGCTGGGTGCACCGCGCGACGTTTTACGGTCATGTGGAGAGAAACGCAACCGCTTGCTTCGTGTTCCTCGTGTAGGTTTTTGATGAAGAGGCTGGACGACTTCAAGGACAACTACAGGGAGGTGCAGCTGCCTGTCCTTTTTGAGGTAGGAGCTGCGGACTGGTGGTCACATACCAAAGACAAAGAGCCCCAGTATAGCCTTAACCGACTGTTCGCGAGGACCTATGAAGGCCGGCACGGCACACGAGGAGGTGGGTGGCCAACACCACCCCTGGCCGCCTTTGCCTCCCCAGTGGTGATGTTTACACATGACACCAGGTACTCATTTGAGGCTGAGTCGAGCTAGGGGAGGCCCAGGACCGGTTCAGACAATCGTCACTGGTGTTGACTGTGAGCAGGAATCAAACTCGGGTCACCGGGTTCATAGCGTAGCGCGCTAACCGCTACACCACCACTCGCCATGGTCAACCTAGGGGAGGCACAGGACCGGTTCAGATATTCATCACATACCAATTACGTACTCACAAACAAGGCATAGGTCTCTCTTAGACTGCTTTACTGACCGCTCGTGTGAGTGCCGTGAGTACCCACGGAGGCTGGCACGGTGCACGGAGGGGCGGTGTAACCAGTATCATGCTCCTCTGCCTCCCTCTCCCCTGCGCTTGTGTTAATACCCTGCACCGGTGGTGGTTTAAGGCTGAGTCGAACTGGGGGAGGCCCCGGACCGGTTGAGATATCACTCATCACTGATGTTAACCATGGCTGGTTAGCAAACTTGGGCCACCGGGTTTGTAACACAGTGCGTTACGTGCTGTGTCACTGCTCCCCATGATAGTCATAATGACGTACACATACGGATACGACCAACGATTTTGTTTTGCCGTGATGTAGCGGTGGCGTCACCACAGCCCATTGTGCCAGGCTAGGCGCAACTTCAGGCCAATGTGTGCCGAGCCTCCAATGGGGTTTTCATTGCCTCGATCTTGCGTTGCAGTTCCTCAACATCGCTTTGGTAGGCTACTGCCCGTGATTTACCAGTGATCAACTTCCTCACATCTATTCCTCTAAGGAACGAAACAGGAGGATTTCTCCACAAATCTGGCTGTCCGCCTGATGATACTCTTTGTAATTACTGGCGAAACGTCGTACTCAGATTGTAAATGTTGTGGATTTGCTCTCCAACACACCGGTGTGCTGCACTAGTAACAAATTGGAATGTTCTGTTTACCTGACAAACCTTACAAATTGGGCTGTGTCAGTGGCTGGTTTGACGACACATTTATATTTACGCGATTTAACCCAAAAAAAACTCTTATGGATTAAACTTCCTCTTCGCTGCTTTAAGGAAACGATGCCGACATTTAAATGTTCCCTACTTGGGTTCCGCCACCACGCGACGCAGTTAATTTTTTCTTTGTCACGGGCGCTGAGCACAGGCCCAAATGGCGAAAATGGCAAGCAAGCAACTAAAATTAGCATTTCAATCTGAGTTGATTGGTTTCTTGACTTAAGCATGCTTTTGAGAGCTTGAAAAGAGAAGACGATGGGACGCATCTGAACGAAACGGGAAGAAAAACAAAAAACGTCCAAACGCTGTCACTTCTCAAAACCATTGTCCTCTCTCCTTGTGTGACTCTCAACAGGACGACTCGGCTCTCACGCCGACCAATCGGAGTGCAACGCTGGGGGCGGACGACTCGGAGGCGACCCCCGACCTCGGGGCCACAGGTCATCCGCAGGAGCCCGCGGTGGGCGGCACCGAGAGCCCCTGTGAGGTCACGCTGAGGTCGGGTGCCAAGAAGCAGCAGCAGCTCCAGATAAAGGAGGAGAGAGACTTCTAATGGCGATTGATCGTGCATCGTTATGATGCGTGATGCACGATTCACAACGGTGTTCTCCGTGAGAAAAACCTACAAAACACAATTGTGCATATTCAATGGCGGTCCCCCCCCTCTCTTTACGGCCACCACTCAAATGCGGCTAATGGCCAGCCATCACCCCCCGTGTGTACGAGCGATGGGGCTAATGGACAACGTCGGGCGACCTACGTCAAAGCACCCATCGGTGGCCGGCAACTCTTTAATAAAAAAACACGTTCCGTTCCCGAAGAAGTTCCCAGTACGTGGTGCGAAACGTCAGACATCGTGGCGAGCAGCACGCGGGCGCGACTCGAATACGAATGCGAATGTTCTCGCGGTGCAAGTTCGTCATCAGCCATTGTCTATCCACTGCTGGATGAAAGCCTTCCCATGCCATCGCCATCACCTCATGGGTCCGGTGATGCTAACCGTTGATCTCCTGCACGTGAGCCCATCGCAGGCCGACCGGAGATATTGACGCGGATCGCAGCGGTGGTTTGAGCCGTTTTCAACAATGGATTGTCATCGCCATCATCAGTCGTGGTCAATCCACTGCTGGATGAAGGCCTCCCCGAGCCACTACCATCTCCCGCGATCCTGTGATGCACTATTCCACCCAGCACCTGCACGTGAGCCGATGTCATCGCTCCATCTATTTGACGAATAAGACCAGAATCTGATCAATTTGGGTACCAAATACAAGTGTCTCTGCATGTTTAATTCACTTTTTGATGAAGAGAACAGCGAATGCAATATGAGTTTAAAAGTTGTAAACATACATATGTAAGTAGGTGGATTATTTCAATTGGAGTCTCGATTAAACACTTTGTTTATAAATGTATCGTAAAGGTGGCTGGGTGGATAAAGGGGGGTTCAATGGACATATCCCAGCACTGGCACTGATTAGAACCTGGGTTTGAATCCAGATTTCAGCCACCAGTGACTTAAACCAGCGTTTTCAAGTGTAATGAGTCCAGTGCTCTTTGCGCGGTCACTTATGTCTGCACGGAATAAAAACCCCATGTATATATTCGGTATGGCCCAGCCTGGCTTTTGAGGCCTCGTTGTGAACGTTGGGTTAACAAATCACTCTTGTAACGTGACGATGAATTAAACTGCAACGTGTGTATTTGTATGTACGTTGAACTTCTTTTGCACCGTACGTAGCCAACCGTGCTCATCGGAGGTGCGGCATGTGACGTGCAAAGTCGTCTCGCCGATTTTGTGGCTCGTCACTGATCGCAGTACCGTGTTAGAATTTCAACTTTGAGCGTGCCGCACAGCATTCGCCTCGCTCTCGTAGAGGAAGAACGACTCGGGACGCAAGGAACCGCAGTCAAGTAGCAGCCACGCGACGAACAGTGCGATATGTGGCGTGCTGCGTCTAATCGGACCACTTGACCAGCACTCGGGAGGGTGGCGGCTCACGCCCCGGTAATTGGGTCAACCCAACCCATGAACCTTTAAGTACGGTCAATCATTCCCCGTGCCTGACAGCATGGGGATGGCTTTCATCCAGCAGTGGACTGATGCATAAACTTTTGAAACACTCATTCTTCATTGCTGTGAAGCATTATGGGTCAAGTTAAATATAAGTTTAACTCTGTTCTACACCTCCACGTAAATAAACACGTTAGTCTATTGGCTTCCATTAAGCCTATTGGCTTCCATTAAGCCTATTGGCTTCCAAACACGGTATTATCCAGCAGCATTTGCTTCGGAAAGCAAACCGAACGAGAGTCAGGCTTGTCATTACTGCTGCTTGGTCGATCAGATGTGAGTGTTGAACTTCATTCGCACCGTACGTGGCCATTCGTGCTAATCCGAGATGCGGGAACACAAAACTTTTTTTTTTACCAGAAAAGGCCCACGGAGCTATGTCAGCTCTTTTCAGAAGTGACCTGGCCACATGATAGCCCAACGAAGTCACTTATCACGTGGAAATGTATTGCAGCCCAAATACTCTAAACAAGCGTGATGTTGATTCTAAATGTGGAGGGAATATCCGTCGGACGAGGAGAACATGCAAATATACAGCAGGCGTCAAGGGCGCTCGAGATGGTATTGGCAAGAGCAATCTACATCAACTATGGGTCTCTCCCCCGCCCCCAGTTAAACTCGAAAGCAATGTCTCGTGCGTCAAGCTGGAGCAGTGTTTGGTATCGGCAGTAGCTGTCTCTCCACGTAGAAAGCACGCGCGTTTTAGTCCATCAGCCTCCTTGGTTTTGTGGATTTGGAAAGCCACTCCGGTGGTGGTCTGAAGAAATTGGATCGCCAGGTGAGCTGAATTGACTTGAGTGCGTTTGTATTTGTAGCTTAGCGGAAGTTGAGAGCATCTTGCCGTCACTGTCATCATCATCGTCCAGCAGCAGGTGGCGGTAGAGCTTCACAGCACCGTGACTCCACGTCCCGAGTCCGTGACTGGCACTGCACCCTGACCCCACGTCCTGAATCCGTGACTGGCACTGCATCACAAACAATCTATTGGTAGAGGCCACCCATCCACGGGGACCTCAATTCACAATCGGATTTGGTGACATTCGATGTGTGCAGGGCTTAATTTCTCATAATGTTTGGCGATGCTGCTGCTGCGTTGGCAGCGGTGCACAAGCACAATGAACAAAGCAACACGAACCCTGAACACATTCGTCAACAAACACTGCCTTAAGAGACAAGGGTAGTGTTGTTTGAAAGTATTCGCGGAATCGTTTTCAAGTTCGCTGGAAGACCAGAGGAGGTGACACGTGAAGCACTGAAAGCCACGGCTAGAGCCAGATGCGTGGTCGATGTGGTGTGCCGGGTGCGAAAATATTTTCCCCGGCCACAATCGAGCGGAGAGAATGTTCAAACCGAGCGTGACGGCAGAAGTCGTCAAACGTGCAAATCGAGTCGGCGCCGCCAACGATTGAAGCCGCACTTCTCCGTGTCCTCGCGTCGACGCACGGGGTCAAACGATGCCACCAATCCGTGCGGCGTGGTCGCGTGGCTTTTTTTGTCCTCTGTTCAGGTTCTCTGCGTTTCCCCTTCCATATTTAGAAAGCAGCGTTTTGGAGCGTTTGTGCCGCTATAAAATGTCCACACGACGGGCCACTTTGTTGAGCTGTCATTTGTGGCCAGGTCGCTTCTGAACAATAAGTTAATCCCTCAGTGGGCTTTGCCTGCTCGGATGGGGATGGTTTAAATTGTTTTATGTGTTTGGGTGACTTGTTTACTTTATTGTACTTTGCACTACTATCATGTTTGTGTACTGTTTGTTGAACGTTCTTACCCGTCCCTACTGGACATCTGTGAATAAAAGCTTTACAGCTCATAGGATTCCTCCTCCAGTATAATTACAGATTCTTATTATTATTTTACTAGGTAAGGCCCACTGAGCTATATAGCTCTTTTTCAGAGGCAGCAAATTATGGCTCAACGAAGTGGCTTGTCGCATAGAAAAATTGAACCCACGACCCCCTGTGTACCAGGCGGGAGTGGTCAACATCTCCTCGCCACCGTGGCGCCCACGCAGCGAGTTCTCTGGCCACGCAGCCAAGGAAGGCGTTGTTCCCGAGAGGGTAACCCGACCATCGCATTGCACCGTGTCAATCGTGGGGTGCGACACCTGAACCGGTCCTTGGACCACCCTACACCCCCCGTTCACCATCCCACACTGACCAACATGGTGAAGTATGGTCACAAGGCTACCCACTGACCGACACAGCCGTAGCAAGGGATGGTGAGGCCGCCAGCCGGCAGTGAAATTGTCACAGTGCAGGAAACTACCTCGCCTGGCATGGAAGGGGGTCGTGGGATTCGAGGTAGACCCTGACACCTGCTCGAAATGTGGAGTTTGCGTGTCTCTCTCCCCGTGGTCGCGTTGATTTGTATTCGGGTCCTCCGGTTTTTTTCTCTCTCCGCATTTAGAATCGACCTCAGGCGTTTGAGAACATTTGGCTGCTATGAATGTCCACGTGATAAGCAACCTCGTTGAGCTATCGCCTGTGGCCAGGTCGCTTCTGAATAAGAGGGACTGTATTTCGCTCAATGGGCCTTATCTGGTTAAACAAAGTTGAATCCTGTATATATATATTTGTTTCGCTTAGTTTCTTATTTTTTTAACTTATCTACGTAACTTTACGGAAAGACCCAAAGAACATGTATATAGTTAGTTTAATTTGTACTCATCAATGACGCGTACAGCATTGTCTTCCCCCCCCCCCCCATCCCATTTCACGACACACCGTGCTCTCTTTCCCACCGCGGGTTTGGTGTTGAGCTTTGGGTGGTGGCCCATCATGCAGATCACACAATAGCAGCGGCCAAACCCGCTCAGCTCGGGTCGCGAACAGTGAAGGGAGAGCCACTGCGCAGCTACAAAGGAACCCAACTACCCATGGCGATCCTACCATCTACCCACGTTCAGCGTGACGGGTTCCACAGAGATGCGCCGTGCATGTCGACGCCACTGACTTCGTAGAGACGCGACTCACGATCTGCTGCTGCTGCTTCTGTGTTGGCAGTGGTGCACAGACTCAACGTCACTAAGACTGGCGAACAATAGGCAAACTATAGGCGACGTTTCGGGCAATGTCCACACCACCCCCCCTCCGCGTGCAGGTGCTGCTCGCTAGCGCCGCTGGCCCCCAACAGTTCGCTCAAGGCTGTCGTGGTGGTGGGGGGGGGGGGGGTCTTTGGTGTTTGCCGGCAGGAGGGTGGCGTGCCACAGAGTGCACTTACAGCAGCAGCGGTAAGAGCCCACGCCAGTCATGCCGGCCACGGAGCATCGGCCCTAAATCGTTTCGTCTCCTGGCAAACGGACGCGAGAGGTCCCTTGCCACCGTCGGCTCCGAGTCTGTGACGACAGCGCCCTCGTTGCCTCGACTCCGCTTTGTTTATACCCAGCAAAGCCTCACGGAGACGACTCTCAACAGTATTTCAGGAGGGTCCTGTCGTGTTCATTCAAACAGGGCGGGGCGGGGGGGGGGGCAAGATTTGTGTGTTTCCCAATTAAGTGCATTTTCAAATGTATAATTTCGACCGTGACACCCGGCACACAAATGACGTTAATCACACGGCATTGTGGCTCTTTAAATATAAATATTGTTTTACCGAATTTGGGTTGCTGACCCCTGGCCTGACCGTTCTTCGAATGGCGTCACGGGGTCTATGACGTCCACGGTGAATGCAGCAGACGTCGAGAAGTGTTTCATGGTTATTATACTGTCAAAGATAACAGACTGTTGGGGCAAGTGCTGTTTGCGAGCAGGACCTATGAAGGCCGGCATGGCACACGAGGGGGTGGGTGGCCAGCACCACGCCCGGCCGTCTTTGCCTCCCCAGTGGCGATGTTTACACATCGCACCGGGTGCTCATTAGAGGCTGAGTAGACCTAGGAGAGGCCCAGGACCGGGTCAGATAATCCTCACTGGTGTTGGCCGTGAGCGGTAAACGAACCCGGGTCGTAGCGCAGCGCGCTAACCGCCACACAATCCTATATATTGTACACGCACACAGAGACACACCGCCACATTAACGAGGGCGGCCTGCCGAATTCGAACCGCAGCAAGCGGCTTCCGCCACGTAGGGCCGCGTTACCCGCCACAGACAGAA